AGGCGGGTTTGGTCCTGCGTCATTCCTCGTCCTTAGCAGTGAGCGAGAAAAGCGGGTCCTGAGGTGCTTAGAGCGGGTCACGCCGGCTTCATCGGTCTGGAAAGCTCTGAGCTAACGTCGTAACTCTGTGCGATGGCGCGACCCTCGTCAGCAGCCGGCCGGTGCCCGCAGAGGGCCGGGGGCGCCTCACGTCATTGCTTTCCCGCGTAAGGCCGGTGTGTGTCCGGTCGCGCAGGGTGTGCCGGCACTGGAACGCTTCACCCCGGTGTCCCGAGGAGCTTAAAATCTTGCTTAGAGTATGCCCCGGGATGAGGAACACCTTCCCGGAGCCGCCGGGCGGGCGGGAGGAGGCACACCCGGCTTCAGCGATCGTCGCAAACCCAGGTGCAACGCGCCCCACGGGAGCGTTGGTGCGTGTGGCGTTACGCAGTTCGTCTGAGGCAGTCTACTGGAGTGTCGTGACAAGGATGAAAAGCTCCTTTCGCTAGTAAGATTCAGTGTGAAATCTTAATTGTGGTCTTTTGTTAAAAAAGCTAAAGATTTTTTTCTAGGAAGATGGCAAGAAATATGTCTAATTTCACTGTTTCTCCCTCTCCAGGCCAATTAAAGTGTAACTGGTTTTATTTGTTATGGTAATGAGGAGACTTTTTTTTTACTCCTTTTTCATCTTTTATTAATAATTTGCTAGATATCTTTATTTAGATGTTCTGAGTTGGTGAGCATACTCAGGGAAAGGTCATGCCAAGTTCCAGTCGTTCACTCTAGGGAGAGAAAAAAAACGTATCAGGTGGTGAATGTACGAACTCACAACATCTCTGTACGGAATACGCTGAAATTGGGAAACCTGGCAGCGGGGCAGAGATAATACCAAATAAATCATTTGGGCAAAAATCTGTTTCTTTGAGGTTCTCTGTTCATATACATGTGTTCAGGTTGAGTTACCCTGGATTAAAGCGTTCTTTATTTTTTCCATAGTACTTTTCGTCTAAGGAACTCAAAGCACTTTTCAACTAGTTACCATTCATTTGATCACTGTGGAAGGCAAAGAAGGGATAAGTTACAGAAACTTCCACATAACCATCTAAACCACTCAGACTAGGAAACAAGCCTCTGTTATTTTTATTGCCCTACTGCAAATCATAAAACTGCAGTGATAATTGTGAAGTGCATGCTTTTGTATTCTTTACACCTTTGCATTTGTATTCCTTGGCTTATCAGTAAAAAGTGGCTTATAATGTAGATCTCTATCCACACAGATCTTTCCAGGGTTTGTATGGTTTTTTGTTTTTTTTTTCCCCCGTAGCTCTCCCCTTTCTAAAATAGTTTTTGAGCTGGTGGTTCTGCCACAAAATATTACAAGATTATTTTTTTCTTTTCACTCTCAAAAATCTGTTAAAATCAAGTTATTCAGCAGGTACTGTGACTGTCCCTACCATACTGTCCTCTACCACCCAGGACCCAGGGCTCTGCTCTGATACAGACCAGTGGCATAACCTTGGCTCAAATGCTGAGGAAACTGAAGTTGTCAGAAAAAGCTGTGAGAAAGTCTGCAACTTTACTGTCCTGTCCTTGCAGGACTCCACAGCCTGAGGTAGGATTGTTGAGATGGGGATGACTCAAGGATTCAACTTGGAAATCGGGGGAAAAATATCCATGTGGAAAGGCTGATGATGCCCAAACACAGTGACAATAAGGAAACAGAACTTCACCTGACTCTAAATCCTCTGCATGATATAGTGAACTTAACTGCTTCTCAAAAGGTGGTTGAACCATTCATCCAAGAGTATCCGGAAGAATGTAGCTTTCTGATTTCCGAGTAGCTTGCTGGACATCAGGGGGCACTGTTTCACCAGCAGCAATTTAAACACAGAATGCAGCATTTGTCTAGGGTAATACACTGGATTTCATGTTGTACTTAATTCCTAACCCTTCCTATAGATGGACATTAAATCAACGCAGGTCCTTTTCATCTTTATATATTATCACAGTTCGAACTGATTTTTATATATAGAAATATAATAAGACCTGGGTTTGAAATACCTAGTATTCTTACAAATTTTGCAAAAAAAAACCCAAATGATTTCCATAAATGCATTGGAACTCAATTATATGAGTGCTATAGTTACATCACCAGCTATCCAGTAGCTGGTCCAAAACCGCAGCTGCAGACCAGTTTGCTTCCTTTAAACAAAAAAAACTTAAAATTTTTCAGTGATTGAGTTGTTTACAGATAAAGAAGCATCACTGAAGAAGGACACAGGGCTAGTATTTTAATAAATTATATGTAGGATACACATACTCTTTTAAAAAAAAAAATATTTGGAGGTAGGAAGAGAAATGGTTTTGGCGTCTGATATCCTTTCCAGTGAACTTTTTTTTGTTGCTTAAGAAAGATAAAGTACCATGGGAAGAACCCCTGATATTTCTTTTCAAACAAAGTCATGAAGAAGACCCATTGGTTCTTTTAAATACAGATCATTGTTCATAGTAAAGTACCTGTTTTTCAATTATAGACTTTTCCTACCTATTGCAGAGTGTGAAATAGAAGAAGAAAAAAAAACAAGTCTGTCTGTCTTCCCTGTAGAGGTGACTCCTGACCTTGTCGGGGGGAACCCAGCCTCTCAGTCAAGTAAGTTCTAGATGAAATGCACACGGGCTGAGCGCTCTGTTCCCAGAGACCATAACAAAACTGGAGCATTCATCTAAAAAGCAAACTTTGGACATGTGGTTAACTCTTCCAGAATGAAGGGTGTAGCAAGTCACACAAGTTTCAGTAAATTAAAAAAGAACTGATAAACCACCTGAAGCCACATCTATCACCAGAAACCTGTTTTCTACGTGGGAAGAGAGAGTAAAGATTTAGATGAGTTGTGTGAAACAAATCATTACGGCATTGTGGTGCCTGGGCTAGGACTAAGCTTAACAGACTGAATAGGCTTTACCTGTTTGCTACTTGAGATAGCAAGTAAGGATACTGGAAGGATGCCTTACAGCCAAATCCTTGCTTTTGACAAATGTTACAGGAGGATTAGAACTACAAATGGTCCAGTGCCACTTAAGTGTACGTCATTGAAGGATGAATGGACAGGAAAATTGTTTTCAGCTTTGTTTATTTGAAAAGAACTTCTAAACATACAGCAGGGTTTTCTAATATGTAAGTCCAAGAACAGATGTAGTTATTCTCAGGCACTGAGAACTTTAGGAACTAGAAGAAAAAAATCATTTGGAAGTTACGTAATGAACAAGAAGTGAACTGACTAGACTAATACAGCAAATGGTAAAGGAATGCGAAGGCTGCCAGCAAATGCAGTGCGTGTTTAAACATGCTGCTTCTGCATACTTCAAAACAGCCAAGTACTCTGCAGCAGCAAATCTACACAAAGTACTGGGGACAAAAGTTTGAACTTGCTGTTCATTTCTACTGTAAATACACTGATACATCCTGTACAAACTTAACTAATTCAAAGCAGAGAATGGAAGCCTTTCAGATTTGTTTTTAAGGATTGGCACTTCTGTGCTGGTTGTAAATGAAACGAAGTAGTCTTACCCAAAGAGTTCTTTGTCAAAATAAATAGATGAGGTAGACTACAGTGGGTCTTCACCATTGTGTCACAAAACGGCAAGTGATGAATGATGTGTCTCACAACATCAGTAACTGAAAACTCTGAGTGTGTATTTTACATTAAAGGGAAAGGAGATGAACTGTACAGTACTCCTTCAAGTGTCTGTCTAAACCTTCTGACATCATCCATCATATTCTAAGTTTTTAAGCCACTGGAGATTGTATTTCGCGTCGGCAAGTATTTACTAACCGTGGTTATTTGTTACCTGGTTGTGCCTGCACTGTTTTCTCATGCTGCATTGTGCACAGAGCACAATAAACAGGACTCCTCTACACGACCATGACCCTGGAGCCATTTGCTCCAGCTGCCAAAAGCAATAGGCTTCCCCAGAGACAGGTGCTGGAGCAAGGAGCAGGTGT